ACCATAGCCTCAACACTGCACCATAGACTCAACACTGCCCATAGACTCAGCACTGCCCGTAGACTCAACACTGCCCGTAGACTCAGCACTGCCCGTAGACTCAACACTGCCCGTAGACTCAACACTGCCCATAGACTCAACACTGCACCATAGCCTCAACACTGCCCATAGATTCAACACTGCCCATAGACTCAACACTGCCCGTAGACTCAACACTGCCCATAGACTCAACACTGCACCATAGCCTCAACACTGCACCATAGACTCAACAGTGCCCATAGACTCAGCACTGCCCATAGACTCAACACTGCCCATAGACTCAACACTGCACCATAGCCTCAACACTGCACCATAGACTCAACACTGCCCATAGACTCAGCACTGCCCATAGACTCAACACTGCCCATAGACTCAACACTGCACCATAGCCTCAACACTGCACCATAGACTCAACACTGCCCCACAGACTCAACATTGCCCCATAGACTCAACACTGCCCAACAGACTCAACACTGCTACCCATAGACTCAACACTGCCCCATAGACTCAACACTGCCCATAGACTCAACACTGCCCATAGACTCAACACTGGCCCATAGACTCAGCACTGCCCCATAGACTCAGCACTGCCCCATAGACTCAACACTGCCCCATAGACTCAACACTGCCCCATAGACTCAACACTGCCCCACAGACTCAACATTGCCCCATAGACTCAACACTGCCCCACAGACTCAACATTGCCCCATAGACTCAACACTGTCCCATAGACTCAACACTGCCCCATAGACTCAGCACTGCCCCATAGACTCAGCACTGCCCCATAGACTCAGCACTGCCCCATAGACTCAACACTGCCCCATAGACTCAACACTGCCCATAGACTCAGCACTGCCACATAGACTCAGCACTGCCCCATAGACTCAGCACTACCCCATAGACTCAGCACTGCCCCATAGACTCAGCACTGCCCCATAGACTCAACACTGCCCATAGACTCAACACTGCCCATAGACTCAACACTGCCCCATAGACTCAACACTGCCCATAGACTCAACACTGCCCATAGACTCAACACTGCACCATAGCCTCAACACTGCCCATAGACTCAACACTGCCCTTAGACTCAACACTGCCCGTAGACTCAACACTGCCTCATAGACTCAACACTGCCCATAGACTCAACACTGCACCATAGCCTCAACACTGCCCATAGACTCAACACTGCCCATAGACTCAACACTGCCCGTAGACTCAACACTGCCCATAGACTCAACACTCCACCATAGCCTCAACACTGCACCATAAACTCAACACTGCCCATAGACTCAGCACTGCCCATAGACTCAACAGTGCCCATAGACTCAACACTGCACCATAGCCTCAACACTGCACCATAGACTCAACACTGCCCATAGACTCAGCACTGCCCATAGACTCAACACTGCCCATAGACTCAACACTGCACCATAGCCTCAACACTGCACCATAGACTCAACACTGCCCCACAGACTCAACATTGCCCATAGACTCAACACTGCCCACAGACTCAACACTGCTACCCATAGACTCAACACTGCCCGTAGACTCAACACTGCCCATAGACTCAACACTGCCCCATAGACTCAGCACTGCCCCATAGACTCAGCACTGCCCCATTGACTCAGCACTGCCCGTAGACTCAACACTACCCCATAGACTCAGCACTACCCCATAGACTCAGCACTGCCCCATAGACTCAACACTGCCCCATAGACTCAACACTGCTACTGCTGATGCTGCTGATGATGTTGCTGTTGATGATGTTGCTGCTGATGATGCTGGCTGCTGATGATGCTTCTGATGACGATGTTTGTGCAGGGTTTCAGGATGTTTCTCATTCGACCCTAACCTTGAGTCCGTGTGGAGAGTTATCTTTGCAACAAGGAGAGTAGGGGTAGCGAATGTGTGTGTGTGTGTGTGCAGATGTGTGTGTGTGTCTGTGTGTGTGTGTGCAGATGTGTGTGTGTGTGAGTCTGTGTGTGTGTGAGTCTGTGTGTCTGTGTGTGCAGATGTGTGTGTGTGTGAGTCTGTGTGTGTGTGTGAGTCTGTGTGTCTGTGTGTGCAGATGTGTGTGTGTGTAGATGTGTGTGTGTGTGCAGATGTGTGTGTATGTGTGCAGATGTGTGTGTGTGTGTGTGTCTGTGTGTGTGTGTGTGCAGATGTGTGTGAGTCTGTGTGTCTGTGTGTGTGTGCAGATGTGTGTGTGTGTGCAGATGTGTGTGTGTGTGTGCAGATGTGTGTGTGTGAGTCTGTGTGTGTGCCTGTGTGTGAGTCTGTGTGTGTGCCTGTGTGTGTGGGGAGCGGTGGGTGTAGTGGTTAGCGCTACGCTGCGCTATGAACCTGGCGACCCGGGTTCGATTCCCGCTCACGGCCAACACCAGTGACGATTATCTGAACCGGTCCCGGGCCTCCCCTAGGTCGACTCAGCCTCAAATGAGTACTTGGTGCTGTGTGTAGTAAACATCGCCACTGGGGAGACAAAGGCGGCCGGGAGTGGTGCTGGCCACGCATAGGTGCTCGCTAACAGCACTTGCCCCTACAGTCACTCACTCACCCACTCACCCTCACTCACTCACCCACCCACTCACCCACCCACTCACCCACCCACTCACCCACCCACTCACTCACACACTCACACACCCACTCATCCACCCACTCACCCACCCACTCACTCACACTCACCCACCCACCCACTCACTCACCCTCACTCACTCACTCACCCACCCACACTCACCCACTCACTCACTCAACCACACTCACCCACTCACTCACCCACGCACACTCACCCACTCACCCACCCACACTCACCCACCCACACTCACTCACTCACCCACCCACTCATCCACTCACCCTCACTCACCTACCCACTCACCCACTCACTCACTCACCCACTCACCCACTCACCCACTCACTGACTCACCCACTCATTCACTCACTCACCCACTCATTCACTCACTCACCCACCCACTCACCCACCCACCACCCACCCACCACTCATCCATCCTCTACGTGTGTGGCCTTCCAAGGCGAAACAACGACGCACCGACGTTTCGGGGCAACGCCCTTGTTCAGAGCATACAGACAAGTGGACAGGAAACGAGACGAGCGGGGTTCTGACATTTTTATTTCAAATAAAAAAAATTTATATTAAATTTAAAACGTACAATTTTATTTTAAAATTTTATTTTAAATGTCAAATTTTATTTTAAATAAAAAGTTATTTTAAATGTAAACTTTTATTTAAAATACAATTTTATTTTAAATTAAAAATGTTATTTTAAATAAAATTAAAAATGTTATTTTAAATTAAAAATGTTATTTTTAATTTCATTAGCCCCCCCCCTCTCCCCACGGACAATTTCCACTGCCTCTCTTCACGATCGAATCGCCCAAAATTAACAAAACAACAAAAATAGCCCCTCACTTCCCGGTCCCCAGCATGTGATCAAAGAGACTCATAGACACCCATAGAGACCCACAGAAACTCATAGACACCCATAGACACCCATAGAGACTCATAGACACCCATAGAGACACATAGACACCCATAGAGACCCATAGAGACTCATAGACACCCATAGACACCCATAGAGACTCATAGACACCCATAGAGAACCACAGAAACTCATAGACACCCATAGAGATTCATAGACACCCATAGAGACCCATACACACCCATAGAGACCCACAGAAACTCAGACACCCATAGACACCCATAGAGACTCATAGACACCCATATAGACTCATAGACACCCATAGAGACCCACAGAAACTCATAGACACCCATAGACACCCATAGAGACTCATAGACACCCATAGAGACCCATAGAGACCCATAGAGACCCACAGAGACCCATAGACACCCATAGAGACCCATAGAGACCCACAGAGACCCATAGAGACCCACAGAGACCTATAGACACCCATAGACCCACAGAGACTCATAGACACCCATAGAGACCCACAGAGACCCATAGACACCCATAGACCCACGGAGACCCATAGAGACCCACAAAGACCCATAGACACCCATAGAGACCCATAGAGACCCATAGAGACTCATAGACATCCATATACACCCATATAGACTCATAGCCACCCATAAAGACTCATAGACACCCATAGAGACCCACAGAGACTCATAGACACCCATAGAGACCCACAGAGACTCATAGACACCCATAGAGACCCACAGAGACTCATAGACACCCATAGAGACCCACAGAGACTCATAGACACCCATAGAGACCCACAGAGACTCATAGACACCCATAGAGATCCACAGATACTCATAGACACCCACAGAGACTCATAGACACCCACAGACACCCACAGACACCCACAGAGACCCACAGAGACCCACAGACACCCATAGAGAAACTCGTAGCCACCACTCACAACTGGACGGCACCAGGTGTAGTGGTGTGTGGTGGTGTGTGGTGGTGTGTGGTGGTGTGTGGTGGTGTGGTGGTGTGTGGTGGTGTGTGGTGGTAGTGTAGTGGTGTGTAGTGGTGGTGTGTGGTGGTAGTGTAGTGGTAGTGTAGTGGTGTGTGGTGGTGTGTGTGTGGTGTGTGGTGGTGTGTAGTGGTAGTGTGGTGGTGTGTGGTGGTGGTGGTAGTGTAGTGGTGTGTGGTGGTGAGTGGTGGTAGTGTAGTGGTAGTGTAGTGGTAGTGTAGTGGTAGTGTAGTGGTGGTGTGTAGTGGTAGTGTGGTGGTAGTGTGGTGGTGTGTGGTGGTGGTGGTAGTGTAGTGGTGTGTGGTGGTGAGTGGTGGTAGTGTAGTGGTAGTGTAGTGGTAGTGTAGTGGTAGTGTAGTGGTGGTGTGGTGGTGTGTGGTGGTAGTGTGGTGGTGTGTGGTGGTGTGTAGTGGTAGTGTAGTGGTGTGTAGTGTGTAGTGTTAGTGTGTAGTGGTGTGTGGTGGTGTGTGGTGGTAGTGTGTAGTGGTGGTGTGTGGTGAATGTCGCCACTAGGGGGATACAAAGGCGGCCGGGCGCGCCGCTACTTGCAGCACTTGCCCCTGGCGCGCTCCGAGGCTACACGGGGACATTTGTCTGTGTGACCTTCATCCAGCAGCGGATTGAACCCGTTCGCAGTGGAGGATTCTGGGTAATTATAATGGTTGGGGGGGCGGGGGGTCAAAGCGTAGAGGTCAAAAGGTCACCGCTACTTCCAGCGCCCTCCGACCTTGCCCTTGTTGCCGCCACGGGCGCCCTTGGCGCTGCTGTGGAGGGGGAGGGGGCGAGGGGGGGGGGGAGAGGGGGGAGGGAGGGAGGGGGGAGAGGGGGGAGGGAGAGGCAGGGGGAGGGGCGAGGGGGGGGGGGGGAGAGGGGGGAGGGAGGGAGGGGGGAGAGGGGGAGGGAGAGGCAGGGGGAGGGGGCGAGGGAGGAGGGGGAGAGGGGAGGGAGAGGGGGAGGGAGGAGGGGGAGGGGGGAGGGAGGGAGGGAGGGGGGAGAGGGAGGGAGAGGGAGGGAGGGGGGGAGGGAGGGAGAGGGGGGAGGGAGGAGAGGGAGGGGGGGGAGGGAGGGAGGGGGGAGGGAGGGAGGGAGAGGGAGGGAGAGGGAGGGAGGGGGGTAGGGAGGGAGAGGGGGAGGGAGGAGAGGGAGGGGGGAGGGAGGGAGGGAGGGGGGAGGGAGGGAGAGGGAGGGAGGGGGGAGGGAGGGGGGAGAGGGAGGGAGAGGGGGAGGGAGGAGAGGGAGGGGGGAGGGAGGGAGGGAGGGGGGGGAGGGAGGGAGGGAGGGGGGAGAGGGAGGGAGAGGGGGAGGGAGGGAGAGGGAGGGAGGGGGGAGGGAGGGGGGAGGAGGGAGGGAGAGGGGAGGGAGGAGAGGGAGAGGGGAGGGAGGGGCGAGAGGGAGGGAGAGGGAGGGGGGAGGGAGGGAGGGGGGAGAGGGAGGGAGAGTGGGAGGGAGGGGGGAGAGGGAGGGCGGAGGGAGGGAGGGGGGAGAGGGGGAGGGAGAGGGGAGAGGGAGGGAGGTGGGAGGGAGAGGGAGAGGGGGCGTGGTTATGGACGGAGCGAGAGAGGTCACAATGGGCGCCATTTCCAAAAAAGTAACAGTGACGTCACCGCAGCGTTTGTGCCAGGCTAGGTGCACACACCACACACCACACACACCACACACACCACACACACTCACACACACCACACACAGACACCACACACACACCACACACACACACACCCCACACTTACTATTTCTGATGCTCAGCAATCCGATTACGAAGCACGTTGATCTGCAACAGAGACACAAGAGTCAGCAGCAGGAATCCGAAAGGCTTCGAAGCTCTTTGTGGTCAGAACGTTAAAACCACCAGCAGCACCTCCACAACCACCACAACCACCAGCACCCCCACCACCATCACCACCACCACAACATCACCACCACCACAACATTACCACCACCACAACCACCATCACCACCACATCCACCACCACCATCACCACAACCACCACCACCACCATCACCATAACACCACCACCACCACAACCACCACAACCACCACCACCAACACCACCACCAACACCACCACCACCACCATAACACCACCACCACCATCACCACAACCACCACCACCACCATCACCATAACACCACCACCACCACAACCACCATCACCACCACCACCACCACCAACACAACCACCACCACCACCACCACCAACACCACAACCACCACCACCAACACAACCACCACCACCAACACCACCACCATCACCACCATCACCACCACCACCACAACCACCACCACCACCAACACAACCACCACCACCACCAACACCACAACCACCTCCACCACCACACCACAAACACCACCACACCACCACCACAAACACTACCACCACCATCACCTCCACCACCACCACCCCACCATCACCACCACCACCATCACCACCACCACCACCATCACCACCTCCACCACCACCGCCACCACCACCATCATCACCACCACCATCACCACCACCATCATCACCATCACCACCATCACCATCACCACCATCACCATCACCACCACCACCACCATCACCACCATCACCATCATCACCATCACCACCATCACCACCATCACCATCACCACCACCACCACATCACCACATCACCACCACCACCACCACCACCATCACCACCACACCACCAACACCATCACCACCACCACACCACCACCAACACCATCACCATCACCACCACCACCACACCACCAACACGATCGCAGTGAAACGTAGATGAAAGGGTGACGAATCACTTGCACTCATAAACAAACACAAATCACAACGTTAGGATCTTTGTCAGACGGCGGCTCACCCACGTGGCTGATATCATCACCATCATCATCGTCACTGAGTGGACACGGTGGTCGTGTGACCGGGTTCATATTGACCGTGTGGCTGAGTTCATATTGACCGTGTGGCTGAGTTCATATTGACTGTATGGCTGGGTTCATATTGACTGTGTGGCTGAGTTCACGGTGGCCGTGTGGATGATTTCACGGTGGACGTGCTACTCACATCGTACTTTTGACGCTTGAACTTGTCAAGGAGATCAAATTTTTCCGACTCCAGTTCATAAATCCACTGCCAGAGCTCCTTCGCTTTCTCCCTGCGCCAGCAACATCATCAGCAACATCATCATCATCAGCAACATCATCATTATCAGCAACATCATCATCAGGATCATCATCAGCAACATCATCATCATCATCAGCAACATCATCATCGTCAGGATCATCATCATCAGGATCATCATCATCAGCAACATCATCATCACGATCATCATCATCATCAGGATCATCAGCAACATCATCATCATCACGATCATCATCATCATCAGTAACATCATCATCAGGATCATCATCATCATCAGCAACATCATCATCAGGATCATCATCAGCAACATCATCATCATCAGCAACATCATCATCATCAGCAACATCATCAGCAACATCATCATCATCATCAGCAGCAACATCATCATCATCGTCAGTAACATCATCATCAGGATCATCATCATCAGTAACATCATCATCAGTAACATCATCATCAGGATCATCATCATCAGTAACATCATCATCAGTAACATCATCATCAGGATCATCATCATCATTTCCTCCACCACCACCATCACCACCCCCCCCACCCCCCACCCCCCACCCCCCCCCCCCCCCCCCCCCCCCCCCCCCCCCCCCCCACCTGAGTTTGTCTTCACCAAGGTGTTCTATGTTCAGCGTCTTCTTGCGATCCGACAAAATCTTTTTCTTTTTCTCCCTCTCAGTCTGCTTCTTGCCACCACGACCTCGCTCACCCTGGGGGAGAGGATGGGGAGACTCACTCACCACTACTCACCACTACTCACCACTACTCACCACTCACTCACTCACTCACCACTCTCAGTCTGCTTCTTGCCACCACGACCTCGCTCACCCTGGGGAGAGGATGGGGAGAGAACTCACCACTCAACACTCACCACTCACCACTACACTCACCACTACACTCACCACTACACTCACCACTACACTCACCACACACTCACCACTCACTCACTCACTCACCACTCACCACTCACTCACTCACCACTCACTCACCACTCCCTCTCAGTCTGCTTCTTGCCACCACGACCTCGCTCACCCTGGGCAGAGGATGGGGAGAGAACTCACCACTCAACACTCACCACTACTCACCACTCAACACTCACTACTCACCACTCACTCACCACTTACTCACCACTCACTCACTCACTCACCACTACTCACCACTCACTCACCACTCACTCACTCACCCACTCACTCACTCACCACTTACTCACCACTCAACACTCACCACTCACCACTACACTCACCACTCACTCACCACTCACTCACCACTACACTCACTCACCACTCCCTCTCAGTCTGCTTCTTGCCACCACGACCTCGCTCACCCTGGGGGTAGAGGAGAGGGGGAACTCACCACTACTCACCACTTACTCACCACCACTCACCACTCACTCTCAGTCTGCTTCTTGCCACCACGACCTCGCTCACCCTGGGCAGAGGAGAGAGGGAACTCACCACTTACTCACCACTACACTCACCACTACTCACCACTCACCACTCTCCCTCTCAGTCTGCTTCTTGCCACCACGACCTCGCTCACCCTGGGCAGAGGAGAGGGGGAACTCACCACTCAACACTCACCACTCACCACTACACTCACCACTCACCACTCACCACTCTCCCTCTCAGTCTGCTTCTTGCCACCACGACCTCGCTCACCCTGGGGGGAGAGGAACTCACCACTCAACACTCACCACTCACCACTACACTCACCACTCACCACTACACTCACCACTCACTCACCACTCTCCCTCAGTCTGCTTCTTGCCACCACGACCTCGCTCACCCTGGGGGGGGAGAACTCACCACTACACTCACCACTTACTCACCACTCACTCACCACTACACTCACCACTTACTCACCACTACACTCACCACTCCCTCTCAGTCTGCTTCTTGCCACCACGACCTCGCTCACCCTGGGGAGAGGAGAGGGGGAGAACTCACCACTCAACACTCACCACTACTCACCACTACTCACCACTACACTCACCACTCACCACTCACTCACCACTCTCTCTCAGTCTGCTTCTTGCCACCACGACCTCGCTCACCCTGGGGAGACGAGGAGAAACTCACCACTACTCACCACTACTCACCACACACTCACCACTCTCTCACCACTACACTCACTCACTCACCACTCACTCACTCACCACTCACTCACTCACTCTCTCTCAGTCTGCTTCTTGCCACCACGACATCGCTCACCCTGGGGGGGAGAGGGGGAACTCACCACTCACTCACCACTACACTCACCACTCAACACTCACCACTACTCACCACTACACTCACCACTCTCTCTCAGTCTGCTTCTTGCCACCACGACCTCGCTCACCCTGGGGAGAGGGGGAGACTGGGGACTCACTCACCACTACACTCACTCACTCACCACTCACCACTACTCACCACTCACCACACACCACTCACTCACTCACCACTCACTCACTCACCACTCACTCACTCACCACTCACTCACCCACTCACCACTCACTCACCACTCTCTCTCAGTTTGCTTCTTGCCACCACGACCTCGCTCACCCTGGGGGGGAGAGGGGGAGACTCACCACACACTCACCACTACACTCACCACTCACTCACCACTCACCACTCTCTCTCAGTCTGCTTCTTACCACCACGACCTCGCTCACCCTGGGGAGGAGAACTCACTCACCACTACACTCACCACTTACTCACCACTACACTCACCACTACACTCACCACTTACTCACCACTACACTCACCACTTACTCACCACTACACTCACCACTCACTCACCACTACTCACCACTACACTCACCACTACTCACCACTCACTCACCACTCTCTCTCAGTCTGCTTCTTGCCACCACGACCTCGCTCACCCTGGGGAGAGGAGAGGGGGAACTCACCACTACTCACCACTCACTCACCACTACTCACCACTCACCACTCTCCCTCTCAGTCTGCTTCTTGCCACCACGACCTCGCTCACCCTGGGGGAGAGAACTCACCACTACACTCACCACTACTCACCACTCACTCACCACTCACCACTCACCACTCACTCACTCACCACTCACTCAACACTCACCACTCACTCACTCACCACTCACTCTCAGTCTGCTTCTTGCCACCACGACCTCGCTCACCCTGGGCAGAGGGGGAGAACTCACCACTCAACACTCACCACTCACCACTCAACACTCACCACTCACCACTCAACACTCACCACTCACCACTCAACACTCACCACTCACCACTCAACACTCACCACTCACCACTCAACACTCACCACTCACCACTCAACACTCACCACTCACCACTCAACACTCACCACTCACTCACCACTCACCACTCAACACTCACCACTCACCACTCACTCACCACTCAACACTCACCACTCACCACTCACTCACCACTCACTCACCACTCACTCACCACTCTCCCTCTCAGTCTGCTTCTTGCCACCACGACCTCGCTCACCCTGGGGGGGGGAGAGAACTCACCACTCAACACTCACCACTCACCACTCACTCACCACTACACTCACCACTCAACACTCACCACTCACTCACCACTCACTCACCACTCTCTCTCAGTCTGCTTCTTGCCACCACGACCTCGCTCACCCTGGGCAGAGGGGGAGAACTCACCACTCAACACTCACCACTTACTCACCACTCACTCACCACTCACTCTCAGTCTGCTTCTTGCCACCACGACCTCGCTCACCCTGGGGGGAGAGGAACTCACCACTCACTCACCACTACACTCACCACTCACCACTACACTCACCACTCACCACTCCCTCTCAGTCTGCTTCTTGCCACCACGACCTCGCTCACCCTGGGGGGGGAGAACTCACCACTCAACACTCACCACTCACCACTACACTCACTCACCACTACTCACCACTCACCACTCCCTCTCAGTCTGCTTCTTGCCACCACGACCTCGCTCACCCTGGAGAGGAGAGGGGAACTCACTCACCACTACTCACCACTACACTCACCACTACTCACCACTCACTCACCACTCTCTCTCAGTCTGCTTCTTGCCACCACGACCTCGCTCACCCTGGGGAGAGGAGAGGGGGAGACTCACCACTACTCACCACTTACTCACCACTTACTCACCACTACACTCACCACTCACTCACCACTCACTCACTCACTCACCACTCTCCCTCTCAGTCTGCTTCTTACCACCACGACCTCGCTCACCCTGGGGAGACGGGGAGACTGGGGACTCACTCACCACTACACTCACTCACTCACCACTCACCACTACTCACCACTCACCACACACCACTCACTCACTCACCACTCACTCACTCACCACTCACTCACTCACCACTCACTCACCCACTCACCACTCACTCACCACTCTCTCTCAGTTTGCTTCTTGCCACCACGACCTCGCTCACCCTGGGGGGGAGAGGGGGAGACTCACCACACACTCACCACTACACTCACCACTCACTCACCACTCACCACTCTCTCTCAGTCTGCTTCTTACCACCACGACCTCGCTCACCCTGGGGAGGAGAACTCACTCACCACTACACTCACCACTTACTCACCACTACACTCACCACTACACTCACCACTTACTCACCACTACACTCACCACTTACTCACCACTCACTCACCACTTACCACTCTCTCTCAGTCTGCTTCTTACCACCACGACCTCGCTCACCCTGGGCAGAAGAGGAGAACTCACCACTTACTCACCACTACTCACCACTACACTCACCACTACACTCACCACTCACTCACTCTCTCTCAGTCTGCTTCTTACCACCACGACCTCGCTCACCCTGGGGAGAGGGGGGACTCACCACTACACTCACCACTTACTCACCACTTACTCACCACTACACTCACCACTCAACACTCACCACTCACCACTCACCACTACACTCACCACTACTCACTCTCTCTCAGTCTGCTTCTTACCACCACGACCTCGCTCACCCTGGGGAGAGGTGGGGGGAACTCACCACTACTCACCACTCACCACTCACTCACTCACTCACCACTCACTCACTCACTCACCACTCACTCACTCACTCACCACTCACTCACCACTCACTCACTCACCACTCACTCACTCACCACTCACCCACTCACTCACCACTCACCACACACTCACCACTCACTCACCACTCACTCACCACTCACACACTCACTCACTCACCACTCACCCACTCACTCACCCCTCACTCAGTCACCACTCACTCACTCACTCACCACTCACTCACTCACTCACCACTCACTCACTCACTCACCACTCACTCACCACTCACTCACTCACCACTCACTCACTCACTCACCACTCACCCACTCACTCACCACTCACCACACACTCACCACTCACTCACCACTCACTCACCACTCACACACTCACTCACTCACCACTCACTCACCCACTCACTCACCCACTCACTCAGTCACCACTCACTCACTCACTCACCACTCACTCACTCACCACTCACTCACCACTCACTCACCACTCACTCACTCACCACTCACTCACTCAGACACTTCTTACCACCACGACCTCGCTCACCCTGGGGAGAGGGGGGGGACTCACTCACCACTCACTCACCACTCACTCACCACACACTCACTCACTCACCCACTCACCCACTCACCACACACTCACTCACTCACCACTCACTCACTCACTCACCACTCACTCACTCACCACTCACTCACTCACCACTCACTCACTCACTCACCACTCACTCACACACCACTCACTCACTCACTCACCACTCACTCACTCACCACTCACTCACTCACCACTCACCACACACTCACCCACCACTCACTCACCACTCACGCACCACTCACTCACTCACCACTCACTCACTCACCACTCACTCACTCACACACTCACTCACTCACTCACCCACTCACTCACTCACCACTCACTCACCACACACCACTCACTCACCACTCACCACTCACTCACTCACTCACCACTCACTCACCACTCACTCACCCACTCACCACACACTCACTCACTCACTCACCACTCACTCACCACTCACCACTCACTCACCACTCACCACTCACTCACCACACACTCACCACTCACTCACCACTCACTCACTCACTCACCACTCACCACTCACTCACCACACACTCACCCACCACTCACTCACCACTCACGCACTACTCACTCACTCACCACTCACTCACTCACCCACTCACTCACTCACCCACTCACTCACCACTCACTCACTCACCACTCACCACTCACTCACCACTCACCACTCACTCACTCACTCACCACTCACTCACCACTCACTCACTCACTCACCACTCACTCACCACTCACCACCCACCCACTCACCCACCCACCCACTCACTCACCCACCCACTCACCCACCCACTCACTCACCCACCCACCCACTCACCCACCCACTCACCCACCCACTCACTCACTCACCCACCCACTCACCCACCCACCCACTCACCCACCCACTCACTCACCCACCCACTCACTCACCCACCCACCCACTCACCCACCCACTCACTCACTCACCCACCCACCCACCCCCCCCACTCACCCACCCACCCACCCACTCACCCACTCACCCACTCACTCACCACCCCCCACCCACCCACCCACTCACCCACCCACCCACTCACCCACCCACTCACCCACCCACCCACTCACTCACTCACCCACCCACTCACCCACCCACCCACTCACCCACCCACTCACTCACCCACCCACTCACTCACCCACCCACCCACTCACCCACCCACTCACTCACTCACTCACCCACCCACCCACCCACTCACTCACCCACCCACCCACTCACCCACCCACTCACTCACTCACCCACCCACCCACCCCCCCCACTCACCCACCCACCCACTCACCCACCCACTCACTCACTCACCACCCCCCCACCCACCCACCCACTCACCCACCCACCCACTCACCCACCCACTCACCCACCCACTCACTCACTCACCCACTCACTCACCCACCCACCCACTCACCCACCCACTCACTCACTCACTCACCCACCCACCCACCCCCCCCACTCACCCACTCACCCACTCACCCACCCACCCACTCACCCACCCACCACTCACTCACCCACCCACCCACCCCCCCCACTCACCCACCCACCCCCCACCCCCACCCTGTACCTGTGCCTGTGTTGGGTGAGGGTGGAGGCGGCACGGCCAGGAGGGGTCCACGGCAGCGGAGACCCGGGGGAGGAAGGGGGGGGTAGGGTCACGTGGGAGGGGGTGGTGAGGGGGGGGGTAGGGTCACGTGGGAGGGGGTGGTGAGGGGGGGGACAGGGGGGTAGAGTCACGTGGGAGGGGGTGGTGAGTGGGTGGGTCGGTGAGTGGGTGGGTGGGTGAGTGAGGTGGGTGGGTGAGTGAGTGAGTGGGTGAGTGTGTGGGTGAGTGAGCGTGCGGGTGAGTGAGTGAGTGTGTGGGTGAGTGTGTGGGTGAGTGAGTGAGTGTGTGGGTGAGTGAGTGTGTGGGTGAGTGAGTGAGTGGGTGTGTGAGTGAGTGTGTGTGTGGGTGAGTGAGTGAGTGTGTGGGTGAGTGAGTGAGTGTGTGGGTGAGTGAGTGAGTGTGTGGGTGAGTGGGTGAGTGAGTGAGTGAGTGTGTGGGTGAGTGAGTGAGTGAGTGTGTGGGTGAGTGAGTGAGTGTGTGGGTGAGTGAGTGAGTGTGTGGGTGAGTGAGTGAGTGTGTGAGTGTGTGGGTGTGTGAGTGAGTGTGTGGGTGGGTGTGTGGGTGAGTGAGTGAGTGTGTGGGTGAGTGAGTGTGTGGGTGAGTGAGTGAGTGGGTGTGTGAGTGAGTGTGTGGGTGGGTGAGTGAGTGAGTGTGTGGGTGAGTGAGTGAGTGTGTGGGTGAGTGGGTGAGTGAGTGAGTGAGTGTGTGGGTGAGTGAGTGAGTGAGTGTGTGGGTGAGTGAGTGAGTGTGTGGGTGAGTGAGTGAGTGTGTGGGTGAGTGGGTGAGTGAGTGAGTGAGTGTGTGGGTGAGTGGGTGAGTGAGTGAGTGAGTGTGTGGGTGAGTGGGTGAGTGAGTGAGTGAGTGTGTGGGTGAGTGAGTGTGTGGGTGAGTGGGTGAGTGAGTGAGTGTGTGGGTGAGTGAGTGAGTGTGTGGGTGAGTGACTGAGTGAGTGTGTGGGTGAGTGAGCGTGCGGGTGAGTGAGTGAGTGAGTGTATGTGTGGGTGAGTGAGTGAGTGTGTGGGTGAGTGAGTGAGTGTGTGAGTGTGTGGGTGTGTGGGTGTGTGAGTGAGTGTGTGGGTGGGTGTGTGGGTGAGTGAGTGAGTGTGTGGGTGAGTGAGTGTGTGGGTGAGTGAGTGAGTGGGTGTGTGAGTGAGTGTGTGGGTGGGTGTGTGGGTGAGTGAGTGAGTGTGTGGGTGAGTGAGTGTGTGGGTGAGTGAGTGTGTGGGTGAGCGGGTGAGTGAGTGAGTGAGTGGGTGAGTGAGTGAGTGTGTGGGTGAGTGAGTGAGTGGGTGAGTGAGTGAGTGAGTGTGTGTGTGGGTGAGTGAGTGAGTGAGTGGGTGAGTGAGTGTGTGGGTGAGTGAGTGAGTGAGTGTGTGGGTGAGTGGGTGAGTGAGTGAGTGTGTGGGTGAGTGGGTGGGTGAGTGAGTGAGTGGGTGAGTGGGTGGGTGAGTGAGTGAGTGAGTGGGTGAGTGAGTGAGTGAGCATGCGGGTGAGTGGGTGAGGCCGACCTTGGAGAGGAATCCGGCGTAGTGCATGGACATGTTCGAGAGAGCCTTCTTCTTCTGGAGGTCGTCCTCCATGCGCTTCCTGGCCATCTCCTCCTCCTTTCGCAGCCTCTCCTCCTGCTCCACACACACACAAATAGAGACACACACAGACACACACACACACACAAATAGAGACACACACAGACATACACACACACACACACAAATAGAGACACACACAGACATACACACACGCACAGACACACACACACAAATAGAGACACACACAGACATACACACACACAGACACACACACAGACACACACACACAGACACACACACACAGACACACAGACACACACAAATAGAGACACACACAGACATACACACACACAAATAGAGACACACACAGACATACACACACACACAGACACACACACAGACACACACACAGACATAGAGACACACAGACACACACATAGACACACACACATACATACAGACACACACACAGACACACACACACACATAGAGACACACACACATAGAGACACACAAAGACACACAGAGACATACACACAGACACACACACACATAGACACACACACACATAGAGACACACAGACAACAACAACAACAACCGCCATTCGCCACTAAGTGGCGGTGACGTCACCGCGACGCTTGTGCCAGGCTATGTGCACCCTGAGGCCACGTGAAGTGTCGAACGCCCGCTGGCAGGAGGTCACGGAGCTGACCCAGGTGCCACGGGTCGACTGACTGAGATGACTGGCTGATGCACCACCTGTGCCCCCAACTGTGCCAATCTGCTGTGCTTTAGCCACCCGGCGCTCCGCTCGTTGTTCTGAGCGTCGCTCCTCCGCCCTCCGTTGTTGTTGGAGGGCGACTACCTCCAACTGCCCAGTAGCATCCTTCACGAGCCTCCTCCACAGAGGCCGATCTTGACACCGCTCGTACCAGTCATCGGCAAGTCCACTCAGCTCCACGTCCTCCTGTACCACATCACTCCATCTCTTCTCTAGCCCGTGCCGCGCCCGCTTAGCCCCCTCAATCCGGCCGAACAAAAGCTGTTTCGGCATACGGTGGCTGGGCATGCGGGCTACATGACCCAGCCATCGCAGCCTTGCCCGCCGGAGGAGCTCACCGATGGGACCTTGCCCAGATCTTTCAAGGATTTGTGAGCTCCTCACACAATCCAGTCTGGTTAAACCCAGGATGGATCGTAGGCAGGCCAGCCTAAATGTTTCTAGCCGGCGAAGATGTTCCATTAGGGGGGTCCACGTTTCGCAAGCGTAGAGAAGGGAGGGAATGACCGTGGCCGAGAAGACGTGGAGCTTAGTGCGGAGCGACAGACCAGGTAGCTTCCACACAGCGTTACGCAACCGATGAAAAGATATTGCCGCTCGACTGATTCGGAGTGAGACCTCTGCTGTTAAACTGGAGCCGGTCATAAGCACACTGCCCAGGTATGGGAAACTCCCAACTCTCTCCACAACTGCCCCATCACCGATTGGGAGATGTGGGGGTGGAGTGTCCGATGGTACAAAATACCCAGGCAGGTGCTTAGTTTTAGTGGGGCTGATGGTAAGGCCCCATCTCTTAGTGGTACGCTCCAGTCTCAGCAGCAGCATCTCCAACTCCTCCTCTGAATGAGCAGCTATTACCAAATCATCGGCATACATAACGTGGTTGAGCAATAGAGAGCCATCCCTTGACCGCACCCGGGCATCGATCAGTCTCCCATTATATCTGTACCAGATGGAAATTCCTCTAGTACAGCCATCGAAGGCTTCATGAACTACGTGGTCGAAAAAGATGTTAAATAATGTGGGAGCCAGAGGACATCCCTGTCGCACCCCAAGGTGTACAGGGAATGGCTCTGACTCCCGGCCACGTAGTTTTACCCGGGCTCGCTCACAATCATGAAGGTTCTTAATGATCGTGAGCAGAGGGTCAGGTACTCCAAAAGCACGAAGAACAACCCAGAGCCCAGGCCTACTGATGGTATCATAGGCCTTGACCAGGTCAATAAAGCAAAGATATAGGTCTTGCTGGAATTCCCTACACCTCTGCTGTAGCAGACGGATAGAAAATATGGCATCTGTGCAGGACCGCCCTTTCCTGAAACCGCATTGGGGTTCCGCAAGCCTCTCCTCAGCGTGCCTGGAAACGTGATGTTGAATAATCCTTGCCAGGACCTTTCCCGGCACACTGAGGAGTGAGATGCCCCTGTAGTTGTTACAGTCTGTGCGGTCCCCCTTCTTAAAAAGGGGGAACACCAGGGCATTCTTCCAATCCTGCGGAACCCGTCCAGTGGTCCAGACTGTTGTTATGATGTCATAAAGGGCAGTCTGTGCACAAACGCCACCATCCCTCACCATTTTCGCTTGGGAGATCATCTCTGGCCGCTGCCTTTCCTGGTCTCAGACTCCGGACCGCCTTCAGTACTTTCTCAACAGATGGCACCTCAGCCAGCCATTCACAGGGGGTGATTTCTTCCAATATTTGAGGCACCGCAGCCTCAGCAGGGTCATCCTCACTTTGTGCCACGATGTTTTCCTGGCTGAGGGATTTTCCCTCCTGCAGGACCTCACAGAAATGCTCAGCAAATCTGCAAACCTGTTCCTGGGGGTCAGAGATTGGATCACCGTTTTTTCCCCTAATGATGGTAATAGGTGTGGCGCTGCAGGTTACTTTTTTAATGGAGTTAAATAGAGATTTGTGATCGCGGGCCACTGAGGCAGACTCCATCTCCTCAGCAACCCGCGACCACCACCCATCCTTGCAGCGCCTCACGGCTCTCCGAACCTCCGAGCGAAGGCTGCAGTAAGCCTCCTCATTCTCTGACGTGGGATTCTGTAGCCGATGACAGTAGGCCTGTCACTTTTTCTCAACCATCGTGAACACCTCCTCTGTCAGCCAGGGTCTCTGGGGAGGTCTGGACCGCGTACCCAAAGCAGCCATTGCAGCTGCATTAATCACAGTCCTAAACCTCGCCCATTTACCCTCGACATCAGGAGGAGTCGGGGACGATGCCAATCCCAGCCGCAAGCGATGATGAAATTCTCGCTTGCAACTTTCATCAGATAACTGAGACCAGACCACCTTAGGTTGGAATGGGGTCCTGGGTGTACACCCACCACCGGAGTGGAAGAATGGCAGGTGCATCTTACAGAAGACTAGTTGATGGTCAGAGGGCAGATCAGCTCCACGGTAGGTCCTGGTGTCAAGGACATGGGCTCGCATCTGCTGGTCCGTCACTATGTAGTCCAGCAGATGTTCTTGCTTGGACCCGGCATGCATCCATGATGTTGTGTGGATGTGCCGATGCCGGAACAGCGTGTTGGTAATTACAAGCCCATGGGCTGCACAAAAATCTAGTAGCCTCCTACCGTTGTTATTGAGCTGATCTGGCCCATGCCCTCCAATCACTCCAGACCAGGTGCCAGCATCATGACCAACTCGGGCATTGAAGTCGCCCAACATGATGACTCTATCCCGAGGGGCCACTTTAGCCAGCACCTGTGACAGGAGGTCATAGAAGGCATCTGACTCATCGGCTTTGCCTGCATCCCTCCACAGATGTTCATCTTCGGTGGGGGCATAAGTAACCACGACCACCACACACACACACACAGACACACACACAGACACACACACAGACACACACACAGACACGCACAAACACAGACACGCACACACGCTACACGCGTGTGCGTGGTGCCAGGCTAGGTGCACCTCACCGCCATCCTTGTCTGCCGCTCCTTCTCTGCCTCGGCGCGGATTCTCTGCTGCTCGGAGCGCTCTGCACGGCGCTTCTCCTGCAGCAACATCATCAGCATCATCATCAGCATCATCATCAGCACCATCATCAGCACCATCATCATCATCAGCATCATCATCATCAGCAGCAGCAGCATCATCAGCAGCATCATCATCAGCACCATCATCATCATCAGCATCATCAGCAGCAGCATCATCAGCAGCATCATTAGCATCATGAGTGAGTGGGTGAGTGAGTGGGTGGGTGAGTGAGTGGGTGAGTGAGTGGGTGGGTGAGTGAGTGGGTAGGTGAGTGAGTGAGTGGTGGATGAGTGAGTGGGTGGGTGAGTGGGTGGGTGAGTGAGTGAGTGGGTGAGTGAGTGAGTGGGTGGGTGAGTGAGTGAGTGGGTGAGTGAGTGAGTGAGTAGGTGAGTGAGTGGGTGAGTGAGTCGGGTGGTGGAGGGCCTCACGATTCGCCCCTTGAGCGCCACGAGGTCTTCCTCCTCCTTCTTGCGCTTCTCGAAGTGCGCCTCGATCAGCGTCTGCAGCTCCAGGAAGTCTTTCTCAAGACGCTTGCGGTGGATGTCCTGGCGGGGAGTGGTGGCACAGCGGTTAGCGCCTCGGTGGGTGAGTGAGTGGGTGAGTGGGCGAGTGGGTGAGTGAGTGGGTGAGTGAGTGGGTGAGTGAGTGGGTGGGTGAGTGAGTTAGTGAGTGAGTGAGTGGGTGAGTGGGCGAGTGGGTGAGTGGGTGAGTGAGTCAGTGAGTGGGTGAGTGAGTGGGTGAGTGAGTGAGTGGGTGAGTGAGTGAGTGGGTGAGTGAGTGGGTGAGTGGGTGAGTGGGCGAGTGGGTGAGTGGGTGAGTGGGCGAGTGCGTGAGTGGGTGAGTGAGTCGGTGAGTGGGTGAGTGGGTGAGTGAGTGAGTGGGTGAGTGAGTCAGTGATTGGGTGAGTGAGTGGGTGGGTGAGTGAGTGGGTGAGTGGGTGAGTGGGTTAGTGAGTGGGTGAGTGGGTGAGTGGGTGGGTGAGTGGGTGAGTGAGTGAGTGGGTGAGTGAGTGGGTGAGTGAGTGAGTGAGTGGGAGAGTGAGTGGGTGAGTGAGTGGGTGAGTAAGTGGGTGGGCGAGTGGGTGAGTGAGTGGGTGAGTGAGTGAGTGGGTGAGTGAGTGAGTGGATGGGAGAGTGCGTGGGTGAGTGAGTGGGTGAGTGAGTGAGTGGGAGAGTGAGTGGGTGAGTGAGTGGGTGAGTGAGTGGGTGAGTGAGTCGGTGGGTGAGTGAGTGATTGAGTGGGTGGGTGAGTGAGTGATTGAGTGGGTGAGTGGGTGAGTGAGTGAGTGGGTGATTGAGTGGGTGGGTGAGTGGGTGAGTGGGTGGGTGAGTGAGTAGGTGAGTGGGTGAGTGAGTAGGTGAGTGAGTAGGTGAGTGAGTGAGTGGGTGAGTGAGTGAGTAGGTGAGTGAGTAGGTGAGTGAGTGAGTAGGTGAGTAAGTAGGTGAGTGGGTGAGTGAGTAGGTGAGTGAGTAGGTGAGTGAGTGAGTAAGTAGGTGAGTGAGTGAGTAGGTGAGTGAGTGAGTAGGTGAGTAAGTAGGTGAGTGAGTGAGTAGGTGAGTGAGTGGGTGAGTGAGTGAGTGAGTAGGTGAGTGAGTGAGTGAGTAGGTGAGTGAGTGAGTGAGTACGTGAGTGAGTAGGTGAGTGAGTGAGTAGGTGAGTGAGTGAGTAGGTTAGTGAGTGAGTAGGTGAGTGAGTGAGTGAGTAGGTGAGTGAGTAGGTGAATGAGTGAGTGAGTAGGTGAGTGAGTAGGTGAGTGAGTGAGTGAGTGAGTAAGTAGGTGAGTGAGTGAGTAGGTGAGTGAGTGAGTAGGTGAGTAGGTGAGTAAGTAGGTGAGTGAGTGAGTAGGTGAGTGAGTGGGTGAGTGAGTGAGTGAGTAGGTGAGTGAGTGAGTGAGTACGTGAGTGAGTAGGTGAGTGAGTGAGTAGGTGAGTGAGTGAGTAGGTTAGTGAGTGAGTAGGTGAATGAGTGAGTGAGTAGGTGAGTGAGTGAGTAGGTGAGTAAGTGAGTAGTGAGTGGGTGAGTGAGTAGGTGAGTGAGTGAGTGAGTAGGTGAGTGGGTGAGTGAGTAGGTGAGTGAGTGAGTGAGTAGGTGAGTGAGTGAGTGAGTAGGTGAGTGAGTGAGTAGGTGAGTGAGTGAGTGAGTAGGTGAGTGAGTGAGTGGGTAGGTGAGTGAGTGGGTGGGTGGGAGAGTGAGTGGGTGAGTGAGTGGGTGAGTAAGTGAGTGGGTGAGTGAGTGGGAGAGTGAGTGGGAGAGTGAGTGGGTGAGTGAGTGGGTGAGTGAGTGAGTAGGTGAGTGAGTGGGTAAGTGAGTGGGAGAGTGAGTGAGTGGGTGAGTGAGTGAGTAAGTAGGTGAGTGAGTGGGTGAGTGAGTGGGTGAGTGAGTGAGTAAGTAGGTGAGTGAGTAGGCGAGTGAGTAGGCGAGTGAGTGAGTAGGTGAGTGAGTGGGTGACTGAGTGAGTAGGCGAGTGAGTGAGTGGGTGAGTGAGTGAGTGGGTGGGTGAGTGAGTAGGTGAGTGAGTGAGTGGTTGGGTGAGTGAGTGAGTGGGTGGGTGGGTGAATGGACGAGTGAGTGAGTGGGTGAGTGAGTGAGTGAGTAGGTGAGTGAGTGAGTGAGTACGTGAGTGAGTAGGTGAGTGAGTGAGTAGGTGAGTGAGTGAGTAGGTTAGTGAGTGAGTAGGTGAATGAGTGAGTGAGTAGGTGAGTGAGTGAGTAGGTGAGTAAGTGAGTAGTGAGTGGGTGAGTGAGTAGGTGAGTGAGTGAGTGAGTAGGTGAGTGGGTGAGTGAGTAGGTGAGTGAGTGAGTGAGTGAGTAGGTGAGTGAGTGAGTGAGTAGGTGAGTGAGTGAGTAGGTGAGTGAGTGAGTGAGTAGGTGAGTGAGTGAGTGGGTAGGTGAGTGAGTGGGTGGGTGGGAGAGTGAGTGGGAGAGTGAGTGGGTGAGTGAGTGGGTGAGTGAGTGAGTAGGTGAGTGAGTGGGTAAGTGAGTGGGAGAGTGAGTGAGTGGGTGAGTGAGTGAGTAAGTAGGTGAGTGAGTGGGTGAGTGAGTGGGTGAGTGAGTGAGTAAGTAGGTGAGTGAGTAGGCGAGTGAGTAGGCGAGTGAGTGAGTAGGTGAGTGAGTGGGTGACTGAGTGAGTAGGCGAGTGAGTGAGTGGGTGAGTGAGTGAGTGGGTGGGTGGGTGAGTGAGTAGGTGAGTGAGTGAGTGGTTGGGTGAGTGAGTGAGTGGGTGGGTGGGTGAATGGACGAGTGAGTGAGTGGGTGAGTGAGTGGGTGAGTGAGTAGGTGAGTGGGTGAGTGAGTAGGTGAGTGAGTAGGTGAGTGAGTGAGTGAGTGGGTGAGTGAGTAGGTGAGTAAGTAGGTGAGTGAGTGAGTGAGTAGGTGAGTGAGTGAGTGAGTAGGTGAGTGAGTGAGTAGGTGAGTGAGTAGGTGAGTGAGTGAGTGAGTAGGTGAGTAAGTAAGTAGTGAGTGGGTGAGTGAGTAGGTGAGTGAGTGAGTAGGTGAGTGAGTAGGTGAGTGGGTGAGTGAGTAGGTGAGTGAGTGAGTGAGTAGGTGAGTGAGTAAGTGAGTGAGTGAGTGAGTAGGTGAGTAGGTGAGTAAGTAGGTGAGTGAGTAGGTGAGTGAGTGAGTAGGTGAGTAGGTGAGTGAGTAAGTAGGTGAGTGAGTGAGTAGGTGAGTGAGTGAGTGGGTGAGTAAGTAGGTGAGTGGGTAAGTGAGTGAGTGAGTGGGTGGGTGAGTGAGTGGGTGAGTGAGTGAGTGAGTGTGTGAGTGATAGAGTGAGTGGGTGAGTGAGTGAGTGAGTAGGTGAGTGAGTGAGTAAGTGAGTAGGTGAGTGAGTAAGTAGGTGAGTGAGTGAGTAGGTGAGTGAGTGAGTGGGTGAGTATGTAGGTGAGTGGGTGAGTGAGTGAGTGAGTGGGTGGGTGAGTGGGTGAGTGAGTGAGTGGGTGAGTGAGTGGGTGGGTGAGTGAGTGGGTGAGTGAGTGAGTGGGTGAGTGAGTGAGTGATAGAGTGAGTGAGTGATAGAGTGAGTGGGTGAGTGAGTGAGTGAGTAGGTGAGTGAGTGAGTTGGTGAGTGAGTAGGTGAGTGAGTGAGTGATAGAGTGTGTGAGTGAGTGAGTGGTTGTGTACTGACATCAAAATCGACTTTCTCTCCCTCCGGGATTTTTGGAGCAGCGATTTGAGGAACAGCAAACCTAGAGATGGAATCATCATCAGCATCATCATCAGCATCATCATCATCAGCATCATCATCAGCATCATCATCAGCATCATCAGCAGCAGCATCATCATCAGCATCACCATCATCAAAAGCAGCATCATCATAAACATCATCATCATCAAGAGCAGGATCTGGAACTCTGTGTGGCTGGGAGGTGTTGACTGTGGGTCTCTATGGGTGTCTATGAGTCTCTATGGGTGTCTATGAGTCTCTATGGGTGTCTATGAGTCTCTATGGGTGTCTATGAGTCTCTGTGGGTGCCTATGAGTCTCTGTGGGTGCCAATGAGTCTCTGTGGGTCTCTATGGGTGTCTATGAGTCTCTGTGGGTCTCTATGGGTGTCTATGGGTCTCTGTGGGTCTCTGTGGGTGTCTATGAGTCTCTGTGGGTCTATGGGTGTCTGTGAGTGTCTATGGGTGTCTGTGGGTGTCTATGGGTGTCTATGAGTCTCTGTGGGTCTGTGGGTGTCTATGAGTCTCTGTGGATGTCTATGAGTCTCTGTGGGTGTCTATGAGTGTCTATGGGTGTCTATGAGTCTCTATGGGTGTCTATGAGTCTCTGTGGGTCTATGAGTCTCTATGGGTGTCTATGAGTCTCTGTGGGTCTATGAGTCTCTATGGGTGTCTATGAGTCTCTGTGGGTCTATGAGTCTCTGTGGGTGTCTATGAGTCTCTGTGGGTGTCTATGAGTCTCTGTGGGTGTCTATGAGTCTCTGTGGGTGTCTATGAGTCTCTGTGGGTCTGTGGGTGTCTATGAGTCTCTGTGGGTGTCTATGAGTCTCTGTGGGTCTGTGGGTGTCTATGAGTCTCTATGGGTGTCTATGAGTCTCTGTGCGTCTGTGGGTGTCTATGAGTCTCTATGGGTGTCTATGAGTCTCTGTGCGTCTGTGGGTGTCTATGAGTCTCTATGGGTGTCTATGAGTCTCTGTGGGTCTGTGGGTGTCTATGAGTCTCTATGGGTGTCTATAAGTCTCTGTGGGTCTGTGGGTGTCTATGAGTTTCTATGGGTGTCTATGGGTGTCTATGGGTGTCTGTGGGTGTCTATGGGTGTCTATGGGTCTCTATGGGTGTCTATGAGTCTCTGTGGGTGTCTATGAGTCTCTGTGGGTTTCTATGAGTCTCTGTGGGTGTCTATGGGTGTCTATGGGTGTCTGTGGGTGTCTATGGGTGTCTATGGGTCTCTATGGGTGTCTATGAGTCTCTATGGGTGTCTATGAGTCTCTGTGGGTTTCTATGAGTCTCTGTGGGTGTCTATGGGTGTCTATGAGTCTCTATGGGTGTCTATGAGTCTCTATGGGTGTCTATGAGTCTCTGTGGGTGTCTATGAGTCTCTGTGGGTGTCTATGGGTGTCTATGAGTCTCTATGGGTGTCTATGAGTCTCTGTGGGTCTCTATGGGTTTCTATGAGTCTCTGTGGGTCTCTATGGGTGTCTATGAGTCTCTGTGGGTGTCTATGAGTCTCTATGGGTGTCTATGAGTCTCTGTGGGTGTCTATGCGTCTCTATGGGTGTCTATGAGTCTCTATGGGTGTCTATGAGTCTCTATGGGTGTCTATGAGTCTCTATGGGTGTCTATGAGTCTCTATAGGTGTCTATGAGTCTCTGTGGGTGTCTATGAGTCTCTGTTGGTCTGTGGGTGTCTATGAGTCTCTATGGGTGTCTATGAGTCTCTGTGGGTGTCTATGAGTCTCTGTGGGTGTGTATGAGTCTCTGTGGGTGTCTATGGGTGTCTATGAGTCTCTATGGGTGTCTATGAGTCTCTATGGGTGTCTATGAGTCTCTGTGGGTGTCTATGAGTCTCTGTGGGTGTCTATGGGTATCTATGAGTCTCTATGGGTGTCTATGAGTCTCTGTGGGTCTCTATGGGTGTCTATGAGTCTCTGTGGGTCTCTATGGGTGTCTATGAGTCTCTATGGGTGTCTATGAGTCTCTGTGGGTGTCTATGAGTCTCTGTGGGTCTATGGATGTCTATGAGTCTCTGTGGGTGTCTATGGGTGTCTATGAGTCTCTGTGAGTCTCGATGGGTGTCTATGAGTCTCTGTGGGTCTATGGGTGTCTATGAGTCTCTGTGGGTCTCTATGAGTCTCTGTGGGTCTCTATAGGTTTCTATGGGTGTCTATGAGTCTCTGTGGGTCTCTGTGGGTGTCTATGAGTCTCTGTGGGTCTATGGGTGTCTATAGTCTCTATGGGTGTCTATGAGTCTCTGTGGGTCTCTATGGGTGTCTATGAGTCTCTGTGGGTCTGTGGGTGTCTATGAGTCTCTGTGGGTCTCTATGGGTGTCTATGAGTCTCTGTGGGTCTATGGGTGTCTATGAGTCTCTGTGGGTGTCTATGAGTCTCTATGGGTGTCTATGAGTCTCTATGGGTGTCTATGAGTCTCTATGCGTGTCTATGAGTCTCTATGGGTGTCTATGAGTCTCTATGGGTGTCTATGAGTCTCTATGGGTGTCTATGAGTCTCTGTGGGTGTCTATGAGTCTCTGTGGGTCTATGGATGTCTATGAGTCTCTGTGGGTGTCTATGGGTGTCTATGAGTCTCTGTGAGTCTCGATGGGTGTCTATGAGTCTCTGTGGGTCTCTATGAGTCTCTGTGGGTCTCTATAGGTCTCTATGGGTGTCCATGAGTCTCTGTGGGTCTCTGTGGGTGTCTATGAGTCTCTGTGGGTCTATGGGTGTCTTTGAGTCTCTGTGGGTCTCTATGGGTGTCTATGAGTCTCTGTGGGTTTCTATGGTTGTCTATGCGTCTCTGTGGGTCTCTATGGGTCTCTATGGGTGTCTATGGGTCTCTGTGGGTCTCTATGAGTCTCTGTGGGTCTATGGGTGTCTTTGAGTCTCTGTGGGTCTCTATGGGTGTCTATGAGTCTCTGTGGGTCTCTATGGGTGTCTATGAGTCTCTTTGGGTCTCCATGGGTGTCTATGGGTGTCTATGAGTCTCCGTGGGTCTCCATGGGTGTCTATGGGTGTCTATGAATCTCTGTGGGTCTCTATGAGTCTATGGGTGTCTATAAGTCTGTGTGGGTCTCTATGGGTCTATGGATGTCTATTAGTCTCTATGAATCTCTGTGGGTCTCTATGAGTCTCTGTGGGTCTCGATGGGTGGCTATGAGTCTCTGTGGGTCTCTATGAGTCTCTGTGGTTCTCTATGAGTCTCTGTGGGTCTCGATGGGTGGCTATGAGTCTCTGTGGTTCTCTATGAGTCTCTGTGGGTCTCGATGGGTGGCTATGAGTCTCTGTGGGTCTCTATGAGTCTCTGTGGGTCTCGATGGGTGTCTCTGAGTCTCTGTGGGTCTCTATGAGTCTCTGTGGGTCTATGAGTCTCTGTGGGTCTCTGTGGGTCTCTATAAGTCTCTGTGCGGCCTTACTCGCTGCTAAAAAAAGCACCACTCACTTTTGCTTCGGCTTTTCCTCCTCTTCATCACCGCCATCACCATCCCCACCATCACCATCATCACCACCGCCATCATCACCATCACCACCACCATCACCATCGCCAATGTTATCACCCCAGCAGAATCGCACACATTGGCGGTCACAGAATATTGACGAGCTCATGAACATCAATGAGGCCACGCATATCAAACAAACCATAAACATCAACAAACTCATGAATATTCATGAGCTCATGAATATTCATGAGCTCATGAATATCAGTGACCTCATTAATATTTATTTAGTGGGCACGGTCAAAGGCGTTCCCCCCCTACCCCCCCCGAGACCCCCCCCCTACCCCCACCCCCCTTAGACCCCCCCCTACCCCCACCCCCCACTAACCCCTCCCCCCACCCCCCCTACCCCCCACCCCCCACGTGGTGCTCCCTGACTGCTGCTGCTGGGGCAAGCGCGAGGCAGCGGCGACTCTGACCTGCAGGTCGCCCTGTGGGAGGGGGGGGGGGGGCACGGAGGGGGGGGGGCGAGGGGGGGGTCAGAGGTCATGGGCACTGAGACAGCTTTTCCTATTTATCGCTGGCAACAATCACAATCAAGCACTCTGTGTGAGGAAGGGCTTCTGTCTGCATTGACCACAAGCACTGTGGGTAATGCAGACACAATTCCTTGTTGCTGATGATGATGCTGCTGCTGATGCTGATGCTGCTGCTGATGATGGTGATCATGATGATGCTGATGATGATGATGCTACTGCTGCTGATGCTGCTTATGATGCTGCTGCTGATGGTGATGATGCTGCTGCTGATGATGCTGATGATGCTGATGGTGATGCTGCTGTTAATGATGTTGCTGCTGATGATGATGATGCTGATGGTGATGATGATGTTGCTGACGATGCTGATGCTGCTGCTGATGGTGATGATGATGATGATGCTGCTGTTGATGATGATGCTTATGGTGATGATGCTGATGATGATGATGCTGATGGTGATGATGCTGCTGCTGATGATGATGCTGATGGTGATGCTGCTGCTGATGATGATGATGATGCTGATAATGATGTTGCTGCTGATGGCTCTTACCGCCCTAATTGGCTAAAAAAATGCCAAAAAACAAAAATACCAAAAAAATATATATCTACAGACGAACACCAGGATAGGTGAGTTGGTGAGTGAGTGGGTGGGTGGGTGAGTGAGTGGGTGGGTGGGTGAGTTGGTGAGTGAGTGAGTGGGTAAGTGGGTGGGTAGGTGAATGGATTGGTGGGTCAGTGGGTGGGTGAGTGAGTAGGTGAGTGAGTGAGTAAGTGGGTGGGTAGGTGAATGGATGGGTGGGTGAGTGGGTGGGTGAGTGAGTAGGTGAGTGAGTAAGTCGGTAGGTAGGTGAATGGATGGGTGGGTGAGTGGGTGGGTGAGTGAGTGAGTCAGTGGGTGGGTAGGTGAATGGATGGGTGGGTGAGTGGGTGGGTGAGTAAGTAGGTGAGTGAGTGAGTAAGTGGGTGGGTAGGTGAATGGATGGGTGGGTGAGTGGGTGGGTGAGTGAGTAGGTGAGTGAGTGAGTAAGTGGGTGGGTAGGTGAATGGATGGGTGGGTGAGTGGGTGGGTGAGTGAGTAGGTGAGTGAGTGAGTAAGTGGGTGGGTAGGTGAATGGATGGGTGGGTGAGTGATTGAGTAGGTGAGTGAGTGAGTGGGTGAGTGGGTGAGTGAGTAGGTGAGTGAGTGAGTAAGTGGGTGGGGTCGTTGAGTGGATGGGTGGGTGAGTGGGTCGGTGGGTGGGTGAGTGGGTCGAAAAAGCTATCAGGAGAGGCTGGAAAATTTCACTCACCCACCCATTCACTCACTCACCCACTCACCCATACACGTGTTTGTGTCTGTGTGTGTCTGTGTGTGTCTGTGGGTGTGTGTGTGTGTCTGTGTATATCTGACTGTGGGTGTGTGTCTGTGGGTGTGTGTGTGTGTCTGTGGGTTTGTGTCTGTGGGTGTGTATGTGTGTGTCTGAGGGTGTGTATGTCTGTGGGTGTGTCTGTGTGTGTGTGTCTCTCGGTGTGTGTCTGTGTGTGTGTCTGTGTGTGTCTGTCTGTGGGTGTGTGTGTGTCTGTGTGTGTCTGTGGGTGTGTGTGTGTCTGTGGGTTTGTGTCTGTGGGTGTGTCTGTGTGTGTCTCTCGGTGTGTGTCTGTGTGTGTGTGTCTGTGTGTGTCTCTCTGTGGGTGTGTGTGTGTCTGTGTGTGTCTGTGGGTGTGTGTGTGTCTGTGTGTGTCTGTGTGTGTCTGTGGGTGTGTATGTGTGTGTCTGTGGGTGTGTGTATGTATGTGTGTGTCTCTCGGTGTGTGTCTGTGTGTGTGTGTCTGTGTGTGTCTGTGGGTGTGTGTGTGTCTGTGTGTGTGTCTGTGGGTGTGTGAGTATTCAATCACCATCTTCTGCTGAACACGAGGGTTTGCATAGTTGGAGTCAGCGATCCAGGGTTGACACAGCGAGGCATCACAACATAACAACAACATCACAACAACATCATCAACAACATAATCAACATTATGATCGTCAACATCATAAACATCATCATCAACAACATCATCATCAACATCATCAACATCATCAACATTGTGATCATCAATAACATCATCATCAACATCATCATCAACAACATCATCATCAACATCATCAAAACACCCAGACCCAGTGTTGAACCCAGGTTGTTAGGGTCTCTAACAGGGCCATAGTGAACCCCCTGAGAGACACAGAGAGACACCCAGACCCAGTGTTGAACCCAGGTTCTCAGGGTCTCTGACAGGCCCATAGTGAACCCCCTGAGAGACACAGAGACACCCAGACCCAGTGTTGAACCCAGGTTCTCAGGGTCTCTGACAGGCCCATAGTGAACCCCCTGAGAGACACAGAGACACCCAGACCCAGTGTTGAACCCAGGTTCTCAGGGTCTCTGACAGGGCCATAGTGAACCCCCTGAGACACACAGAGACACCCAGACCCAGTGTTGAACCCAGGTTGTTAGGGTCTCTGACAGGGCCATAGTGAACCCCCTGAGAGAGACACAGAGACACCCAGACCCAGTGTTGAACCCAGGTTCTCAGGGTCTCTGACAGGGCCATAGTGAACCCCCTGAGAGAGACACAGAGACACCCAGACCCAGTGTTGAACCCAGGTTCTCAGGGTCTCTGACAGAGCCATAGTGAACCCCCTGAGAGAGACACAGAGACACCCAGACCCAGTGTTGAACCCAGGTTGTTAGGGTCTCTGACAGGGCCATAGTGAACCCCCTGAGACACACAGAGACACCCAGACCCAGTGTTGAACCCAGGTTCTCAGGGTCTCTGACAGGGCCATAGTGAACCCCCTGAGAGAGACACAGAGACGCCCAGACCCAGTGTTGAACCCAGGTTCTCAGGGTCTCTGACAGGGCCATAGTGAACCCCCTGAGAGACACGGAGACACCCAGACCCAGTGTTGAACCCAGGTTCTCAGGGTCTCTGACAGGGCCATAGTGAACCCCCTGAGAGAGACACAGAGACACCCAGACCCAGTGTTGAACCCAGGTTCTCAGGGTCTCTGACAGGGCCATAGTGAACCCCCTGAGAGAGACACAGAGACACCCAGACCCAGTGTTGAACCCAGGTTGTTAGGGTCTCTAACAGGGCCATAGTGAACCCCCTGAGAGACACAGAGACACCCAGACCCAGTGTTGAACCCAGGTTGTTAGGGTCTCTGACAGGGCCACAGTGAACCCCCTGAGAGAGACACAGAGACACCCAGACCCAGTGTTGAACCCAGGTTGTTAGGGTCTCTGACAGGGCCACAGTGAACCCCCTGAGAGAGACACAGAGACACCCAGACCCAGTGTTGAACCCAGGTTCTCAGGGTCTCTGACAGGGCCATAGTGAACCCCCTGAGAGACACAGAGAGACACCCAGACCCAGTGTTGAACCCAGGTTGTTAGGGTCTCACCTTCATCTTCCTCCACTTCACCTGGGACTTCAGGTGCAGATTCATCATCTTGCTCGGCTGTGGATCGAGATGGTCGATTAATCGATCGCCAATAAACGATTTATCGTGGATCGATCGAGAACCGATAACCAATTGACGATTGATCACAATCGATCTTTACTAATCGGATGTTGGATCGAGACGTCGATTGATAGATAATTGATAGAGGAGTAATGGGTAACACATGGATAATTAATAATTGATTAATCGTAATCGATCGTTGACAATAGGTTAATTAACAAAACGTCAATATAATCGATTCGTCGATCATCCACAATCGATTATTGCTCGACAGCGAGTGGAGGAATAATCGATTATTCAGGGAACTATCGATTGAAATATTCGATTAATCAATAATGATTACGTAGTTTCTTAATCGATAGAGAAAAATTGATCAGTCAATCCAGGGCACCTGGGTACGTGTTGTACACCTAGCCTGGCACAGCAGGCAATCCATGGCCCCTGCAGGGTCTATCACGTGACCTCCTCCTGCACCTAGCCTGGCACTGCAGGCAACCCATGGCCCCTGCTGGGTCTGTCACGTGATCTCCTCATGCACCTAGCCTGGCACAGCAGGCAATCCATGGCACGTGCAGGGTCTGTCCCGTGACCTCCTCATGCACCTAGCCTGGTACAGCAGTCAACCCACGGCGCCTGCAGGATCTGTCACGTGACCTCCTCCTGCACCTAGCCTGGCACAGCAGTCAACCCGTGTCACCTCCTGGATCTGTCACGTGACCGCCTCCTGCACCTAGCCTGGCACAGCAGTCAACCCACGGCGCCTGCAGGATCTGTCACGTGACCTCCTCCTGCACCTAGCCTGGCACAGCAGGCAACCCATGGCCCCTGCTGGGTCTGTCACGTGATCTCCTCCTGCACGTAGCCTGGCACAGCAATCACCCCATGGCACCTGCTGGGTCTGTCACGTGACCTCCTACTCCTGCACCTAGCCTGGCACAGCAGGCAACCCGTGTCACCTCCTGGGTCTGTCACGTGACCGCCTCCTGCACCTAGCCTGGCACAGGAGCCCTGCCAGAGGCTACCTGGGGGAGCTTTGTCTGTGTCTCTCAGCACTTGCCCCTACAGCCCTGCCAGAGGCTACCTGCGGGAGCTTTGTCTGTGTCTCTCAGCACTTGCCCCTACAGCCCTGCTAGAGGCTACCTGGGGGAGCTTTGTCTGTGTCTCTCAGCACTTGCCCCTACAGCCCTGCTAGAGGCTACCTGGGGGAGCTTTGTCTGTGTGTCTCAGCACTTGCCCCTACTGCCCTGCCAGAGG